TCCCAGCATACTACCCTGCTTCTCTGGCTGACCTTTCAGGTTAAGACTTCTGGATATAAGCCCATGAAAGATAGTAAGAAGGCAAATTCAGCTGCTTTGGGACTCACCAAAAAAAAATAAATAAATAAATAGTTTTTCATTTCAAATATACACTGAAAATCCGCATTTCTTATCTATGAAGTTAATGCTGCAGACGCAGACCCATCAACATCAGGCTGTGCACTCCAAATTGCTTTTTCCAGTCCATATTCCCCTGTTCTCCTGTTTACCTTATCACAAGAAATAAGCATGAGAAATAAGCACGTGAGAGTGGCTGGCAGAGGTCAGGGCTGAGGCTCTTGGGTGTGAAGAGCTGCTGTGTACAAAGCCAAACGTTTCACACAGGGATCAACCTGGGACTACAACATCAATTTACTCTTCTGTTATAAAATGCCTAAGAACTGGAGGACCTGGGGGATCACAGCCCATTCCCATACAGCCCAACAGACTAGCCATGTCCTCTATTTCCAATGCCATCCATAAGCACCCAGAACTCAATCCCTACCATATATCTGCATTTCAAGCATCCCATTACTCAAAGGTCAAAATTAATCTGCAGAGTGGGAGGCCTTCAGGACATCAATGAACCAGCTTCTTCCTGTTATAGTATCTCTTCCTACTTAGTTGGAAAACTATTCTTCTGATTTTACTTGTACAAGCTGTAGTCTAAGAATTTAAAAGAATATAAATTCAAATATGATTTAACATAATAAGCTTAGGCAAGATACTCTATAAAATAATCATTCTTCAGATATTTTCTTTCCCTTTCTCCCATCTCCAGTAAGTTTATGTTATAATACCTAATAAAGCTACAACAAGAATCAGTGAGAGAAGGGTGGCACTGCCATGGGAAATCATCCATAATTGTTTAGAATCAAACATACAACTATTTAGCTATTTAAAACTGTTAGTTGAATTAGAAAATCATTTTCCATGTCTACAAAGCCCGTCTAACTAGGCCATCAAAAATGTGTTTCCCTAATCTTTACATTTTGCATATTCCATTTTTAAAATGTCTTCCTTTCTCAGCATCTCAATAAAGTTTGGATCTCACTTAGTTCAACCTTTCTCCTCTGATTCAGATTCAACAAACCTTTTACTGCAAGCCTAACTATGTGCTGAGCAATGCATAGTTAACTCACTCTATTATCTAGAGATTTATCATTTTACAGATGAAGGAACAGGGGCTCCATTAAGTTCAGTGACTTTCCCGCTTTTGCAGCCTGAGAAGTGGCCTTTGCAATTTCGAAGTCCACAGGCTGTCCATGGGGACTCCAGGTAAAATATTTCCTCAGTATGGCATGCATCTAATTTTATCCCTCTGGAATCTTGTTCAAGATAAATTATATGGTTTGGGGAGGGGGTTTTTGCCCCTCGTAATCTCAGGCTTGGAATCAAGGATTATAGGCAACTCATAGAAGGATAAACACAGCTATTGCACATTGCAAACCATCTGTTCAAAAGGGATCTTCTTCCCAGACTCCAATAACCAGAAATTAATGCCTCTTTGTAGATTTAGTCCAAACAAGGTCTACAATTAACAATATGTCCAGTCGTATTCCTTTATGTCATTTAAACTCTGTAACAAGTAGACTGTTAGTTCAAAGGGTCAGAGCACACAAATTAGTGAAAAGGACAAAGGCCTCTTCCTCCTCCCCCAACAGGCCAAGAAGCATGCACACCTCCTACCCTCAGCCACCCTGGTGGTACTAGATACTAAAGGGACTTGTAGTCAGAGATGGTGCTCCTAGGGAAGAAAGGCAAAGCATTCTATAGCTGATGTTAATATCAAGCAAACATGATATATGCTGACATAATAGCAGCAATTAAAAATGATTATGGCTGGGTATCACTTCAGAATTTCAAGGTATAACCATTAACAAAATATAAACATTTTTGTAAAACCTACCAAAACATAATGCTATCTCCATAACCGGAGGCAGGAAAACCCTCATTATTGTTCCATTCTAGAAGACAAGCGTGTCCTTTTAGCTTGTTTGTTTGATTGCTTCTAGTATCACTCTGCACATCCTATCTTTTCTAAACAGAAGAGGCATAGCTATTCTTTTCTGTAGACATCTCCAGGCCAGAAATTTTACCTCTTATTACTTTTAAATGCTAAGATGTTACAGAAACCATTACATTGATATTCTGAGTGTACCTTTACTATGGTGAAAATTACTCACCTTACTCACCTCCCTATCTTACTGAAGATATCAAAAATACTACCAGTACAGTAGATGATTTCAGAAATAGTAACAGGTTCTAGTTTCAATCTGCAACACAGGAGAAGAGACCCCCCAAGCCCAACTGGGTAAAAATAGAACATTTCAGAGACATTTGTAAATTGGTTACTGCCCTCAGCTGAACTACAGCTGGTTTCTTGATGAAAAGAAAGAATAACAAAAGGATGTGTAAAGTGTTAAAAGGTCAGTGCAGTAAAGGATGAATAAGAAATACAGTTGGCCCTTACAATGCAATGATATTGCATGTGTGAACTCAATTTACCACCCCGAAGACTTAGCATAGGCATATGCTCCTTTGATCTACAGAGGAAAGGGTTTATACTGTAGAATAGCTGATCTTTTTACACTGGTTATGGCATCAATTCAAGTGGTCCTGTGTAACCTCTGTAAGCTATAAATTTCCTCAATGAGGTTGTAAAAAACACATTAAATAGTACTTGGTGTTATTTATATGTAAACTTTCTTAGTATTACTTTTTAAAAGAAAAAGCCAAGTAAGGTTGGGGGACACTGCAATGTTTGCTTGTTCAAAAGTGGTTTGGGTAGCAATTTCTGCCCCCCTCCCCATTGATTCTACAACATCTAAGTTCTGCTCTGTGAATTCAGAAAGATACCAATGTCTCTGCCATTGTAAGTTATGAGCCTTCTTAGCATCAACAAATCCAGGTTTATTTGAACTCAATATCTGTGAATTATGACTGGGTATTTGCTTCCAGTTTATTGAGCCACTAAATTAGAATACAGGGAAATTGAAATATTACTTTTCTCTCCCTATCTGGAAGATCCTAAAAGGCAGGATCCATGAGAGATGGTCCTGAGCCAGAATTCTAGGTTTTGCCACTCTCTAGCTGGGTGATCCTGTGGCATCAACTTCCCATGAGTCTTGGTTTCCTCATCTGCTGTATAAAAAGTAATATTCAAAACAATTTAAAATTTTAAAAAAGAAGAAACTGTGTGTTCAAGAACTTATCCTACTAAATATGGTTGGTATATGGGAGATGCTCATGGTTGGCTGAACAGGAGACATCTCTTAAAAGATTAACAGGCCTTCTGCCCTTTAGTGTTGGTCCTCTCTGTGGCCATCCTGGGTATATGCAGTGCTCAACTTTAAGCTTTGGTAAAAAGACTTGAACAGACTCTGTATTTTCTTCCATAGAAAATGATGCCAGTAGAATCCTAACAAGTCATTAGAAAACAACTCTTCTGCAGATGACAGGAACCCAGGCAATAAAACCTGACTAGCTTCCCTTACTTCCTTGGGATAAGGAAGAGGTGAGGAGAACCCAAACCGTGCTGCTTGCCCAGGTCTTAGTCCTGGGCAGAACTGACTTCTCTGAAATATGTCCTCCCACTAAGAGGGCAAAGAGCAAGACCTTGAGCTCCTGCTCCTCTGACTGAAAGCATCGCTTTCTAATCACAAACTCAAGAGGCCAGGCAGCAGGGGATTAGGGCGGGTGGGGACAAAGGTGTCCTGCTGCTCTGGACTTGGAGAGCTATAACATCAGACACCACCTAAGGCTGTCTTGCTCCAGCTACACCAAATGGCACTTTCCTCTCCCTTCACCCTAGCAGAGCGTGTCAGGTTGTGTACACCCCAAGCAGTCCCAAAAGCGCGCCTGCCGGAAGCGCGCCCCCACCACACACACATTTACTCACTTCCCAGGCCGACGGAGGTTCCTCTAAGCCCAGCTAGGGCCCCCTCCTCCGGTCAGCTACAGAGAAGCTTTTGGGAGAGAAGGAAACCATAAGGGGCCACTCACAGAGCCCTCTAAATCACTATTTCTCTCCGGACATGGGGGAAGGGAACGAGAAAGCCAAAACCATTTTTGCCCCGGAATACCTCCAAATCTGTTACGCTGTCAACATCCCATAACATCCAATTTATTGACATGTCCTCGCATGGCAACTCCGCCAAAAGCCCGTGAGCAGACCCCATAAAAAACGTGCGCTCCTGCAGGGCACCCAACTCTGACCCCACTGAGCCGCCACCGGGCATGACACGTTCCACCCTGGAAAAGATACCCCATTTTCCCTCGGCAGAACCCGGTCAGCGATCTTCAGAAGTTTCCCGTCTCCCGCTCCAATCCCCAGATCCCGATCAAGGCTAGGAAGCCACAGGATCTCCCCCAAAGCTGCACTTACATCGGGTCCCGCCCCCCATTCCCTCCCCCTTCTTCTCTCCTCTACTCCAGGCTCCGGTCCCCGCGCTCCAGCTTCTCCAGCGCCCAGAGGTTCTCTTGCCCAAGGAGAGGAAACTTCTTTCTGAGCTAAATTCAGGTCAGAACAGGAAAGGGTTTTTCTTCTCCGCCAGCACCAAGGATGCGTTCACCCCTTACCCCCCAGAAGAGCTCATTCGCCCCTCCTTACGGCCACCCGCTGAGACCTTTCCTCCAGCTACTAGTGCTCCTAGACCTCCCAGGTCAAAAGGTCTGGTAGAGTCACCACGGGGACACTATAGATCTTTCCGGAGACCCTACCAGTCCCGCGTAGATTTCAAAACCCAAGTAAACAAAACAAAATTTCCGGCAACTTTGGTGTACGTGGGTATCTTGTGTGAGGGGGAGAGAGCGCGCGCGAGAGCCAGACAGCGTAGCGCAAGAGTTAGGGCAAGCGGCAAGAGCACATCTGGAAGAGGGGGAGGGGGATTGGAAGCGGAGGGGACGAGTAGCCCCCAAGAGCTTCCAGGCGGAGGGTCCGGCCCCCCGACGTTAGTTACCTGTCCTATGTTGATGAATCCGTATTTGCTGGCTATGCGGTTGGCCTCCGGAAAGCCGCCGGCGATTTTGACTGCCCAGTGGTTGGTGTAGACGCGCGTCCGGCACACGGGGAGTAGGCAGCCCCCGAGCAGCGCCAGCACGCACAGCAGGTCCAGCCGTCCCGGGCAGCAGCAGCGGCCCCCCCAGCCCATGGTCCCTTCGCCTCGCGGCTCCCTTTACTGGCTCGCTCGCTCGCAAGATCGCTGGCTCTGCGCACTAAGCGGCGCGCACAACTAACTTCTCCGGCCTGGGCCGCCCAGGCGCGCAACCTCCGGAGATCGGCAGGAGGCGGCAAGCCCCAGCAGAGGCAGAGCAGTTAGCCTCGCGCCGGCTCCTAGACCATCCCTGGGGCTGCAAGGACCAGTGCTCCCCGCTCTCCGACCGGCGGGGCGGTCAGCGAGAGATCCCCGGCTCCGGAGCAAAAGGCGGCGAAGTGGAGCTGGCGCCCTCAGCAGTTGTGTCTCGCCGGCTCGGCTCCTAGACTCCCAGACTAGCTTTAGCTCCTCTCTGGGCCCCAGAGAGCGGCTGAGACGACCAGCCAGGGCGGTGCAGGCAGCGACCGGGCGCCCCCTTTGCTGGCCCAGGCTCCGAGCGCTTCCCTGCTTCCTGCGCTCTCTCCGGCTCCGAGCTGCGCGCGGGGACTGTGAGTGGCAATGGCAGCAGCGCCTGCTCTGCATAAATGACTCCCCCGCCCCCTATCACCCCTCCTTTCCCACCGCGCTCTCCTCCTCTCGCTCCTCCGCCCTCCCCAACGCGGCCGCAGCCAGGCACCAACCAGGTCCTAGTGCCTCCGTCTTATCCCAGCCGTAATCCTCCAGGGTCCCGGGCAGCAAAAGGCGAGTCTTTCCAAAGGGCTGGGAGGAAAACTCCAGGATCGCGGTTTTACTTCCTTTTCTCTCCTCCTGGCTGGATTTGTATTAATTTAGCACTACTTCCCGAAAGACTAACGACATTTACACGCTGGTACCCGTTAAGTGCCCCGAAGATTCATTCATCCTCTCACTAAACGTCCTTAAACAACTAAGCATTTAAGAAGGTCACTTGTATGTCAGTTGCTGAACCAATAACCCGAGATTTTCACTTCGCTAATTCTTCATGCTTTTCAGCAACTGTGTATTTAACAAATTCTGCTCCCAGGAGAAGCTACCACCCGGGACAGTAAGTCGCATCCTCTCCTACAAAAGCCAACCACCGAGGCTCCAAAGCCAAGTCAGTTGCCTGCCGACTTTCGAAATCTGCGCATCTGATACAAGGCAGCGCCACAGGAGAGTGAAATTTCAGCCATGAATTCAGGAAAGATATTTCAATGAATATTTGGAATGCAAGTCGATGGACATGTTGGACCAAAGGAATAACTTCATTCGTTTGTTGGATTGCATCTGAGTGCTTCTTTTTCTCCACCAAGGGAGAAGTTTTCCAACTTTTCCAAGCACAACCCTGGAACCGGATAGTCTTTGATAAAAAAAGGACCACCGAGGAAGTTGGGATGAAATATGTGGCAGAACCGCCTTCATTACTGCATCACGGCACTGGGACTGCAGAAGGCAGGAGGGAACTGGGATTTAACCCTCTTGCTTCGCTTTTACAACCTCTTTTTCCATTGGAGTTAAGGGGGGCAAGTTGACTTATTATAAAAGGAAAAATTAACCCTTATTAAATAATTCAACTGGCCTTAAAATTAGACACTAGATCCCTGACTCCCACCTCCTTTTCCCCTCTTCTCCTTTCATTCCTGTTATCCTTCTTTCTAAGCATTAGTTGAATGTGTTTGAGATTAACCCGTTATACAATGATTTTGTTATCAGAAACATACTTCAGTTCCACTAGCACCTTGGAACGTGTAACATTTTGTGACGTTTTATGCATTGCATAAAGTATGCTGCTTTATTGAATCTTGCAAGTAAAACCACAAAGTAATATCATCCCCACATTGTTTGATGAAGAAGTAAAGAATCGGAAGAACTAAGTTATTTGCAGAAGAGTACGTCTTTTATTCATGTATTTGATGAATTGATCACATTTTTTTTTGTTTTTAAGTATCTAGCATGTACCACATCATATTATGCTGGAAGCTGGAGAAAGGAGCAGGGAGGCTGAAAAGATTATTGGAATTCATACTCTGAATCTTCTAGAATAAATGTGGCTTATAATAATAAAAATAATAATAATTATTATTATTATTATTATTATTATGTGGAAAAGCATATACACTGCCCTTGGGCTTTAGAGTTTTGATATGGTCTGGCTACTAGCCAGTCCCTTTGGACATATACTGTGCTATTGTGTATTATGATATGTTACAGTATGTTACCTCATGGTGCACTGTGGCATGTTATTGTGTGGTGTCACATGTTATTTTATATTATCATATGTCATGGTATCTTCAGGCATGATATGTTATGGCAAGTTATAGCATGTTATGGGCCATTACAGAATGTTATGGTACTGCATTACTGAATCCCTAACTATGGAGTCTAAAAAGTTCATAATCTATTAGATCACTATTAATTGTCAGAGTGACCAGATATCTGTATCTGTGCATAGGGATGTGGATTTATTTCACTAGAAGCTGTCGGTTTCAGGTGGAATTAGGAAGGTTCGATCAAGATCTGAGTCTTAATGCACATAGGAGGGATAGCTAGTCTTTCTTTAGGTATCCTGGCCTTTTGCTCTCAGGTGGGAGGGAAAGTCTGTCTGACCACAATCTAGAGGAGGGGGCCACTCCATGGGCATTTTATGAGCGAATTTTGCAGCAAGGTCTGTGGATTTCTCTCTGAGACTCTGGGGTGTTATTGTTTAGGACTACAAAGGCAACACAAAGTGCTCTCCTTGAAAGCTGTGTTGTCTCTGGCCTTCAACTTCTGAATGAAATGAAGAGGAATCACTACTGCACTGTGTCTCCTGAGGCCTAGAGGTTGTTTCCTAGGGCTAGCCAAATTGCTTGCTAATATTTTCCCTCTGTGCTGCCTTTTTGTTTTTTCTTTCCACTAACACTTTACATGCCCTGCTTGGCACACACAAGCATAACACTCACTACATTGAACATGAGAGAAAATTGGAAAATGAGGTATGAAGTGGGAAAACAAGTTTTCTATGTAGTAAGCTAATCCTTAGGCCTAGGTTTAGTTTACTCAAAGAACATATTCTTCCTTTAGGATGCATATGTATTTAGAAGGGAAAAACCTAGCTCTATTTTGCTATTGTTGTTTGTTTGTTTTTTTAAGATTTGGAGACTTTGTTCATCTGTAAAGCATACAGCCATGTATGACGGCACACTCTTATAATCTCAGTGACTCAGGAGACTGAGTTAGAGGAATCACAAGATCAAGGCCAGCCAGGGCAACTTAGGGAGACCCTATCTCAAAATACAAAATAAAAAGGACTGAGGATGTAGCTCCATGATAAAGTGACCATGTGTTTGATCCCCAGTATCACAAGAAATAAAATGAAATATTTCCCTTTAGCAAATATATTCCAGTTCCATTATAAATGCATTCTCAAAACGTGTGATTCCTAAACCTAAATGATAACAAAGTCCTTCTCCACTGATGAGTAGGCACAGTCTTCTTTCTGTTTTGGGATGTACCTTAATGAATCGTGAACTTCCTTGGATAGAACCCCTTTGGCCAAGCTTCCAGATAAGGATCAAGAGTTGCAAAGGGCTGTCTTACTTCACGACCCTATGCTCTGTAGGTTAGGAAATTCCTATTGCCAGTATTTCGGCTGCCAAAGGGAGACGGAACTGATAGACTAGTAGTGGTTAGTGCAAAATGTCACTAATATTAGAGAAAAATTTGTAATACAAGTCTTGCACTAATGCTTCCTTTTAGTATACAAAGGATGACACTGCCAACTTTGACCCTGGACTTTCCCTCTCTAGCATGCCATATGGCAGGAAATCGGGAAGTTTTAAGTTTTTTTTTCTGCTTTCTACTCAGCAACATATTACCTGATAATGAGGGCCCACTAGTGTTTGGCCTATCTGCCAAAGTCCCTGACAACTCTAAAAGAAAATTTCGGTGAAATGCAATTAAGAGAAATCTAAGTAGCTTAACAGAGAGAGAAGTGAACAAGATCTCCATATAGGTATATCCTGAAACTATGCAAACCAGAATTATTCTGGGAAGAGATTGTCCTATAAGATACCATATTTCTTCCTCTGCTACATCCTCTGCTGGAAATTTGTCTTTAAGAACAGTTCTAGAGCCGGGCATAGTGGCACACACCTGTAATCCCAGTGGCTTGAAAGGCTGAGGCAGAAGAACCTCAAGTTCAAAGTCAGCCGCAGCAACAGCAAGGTGCTAAGTAAGCAACTCAGACCCTGACTCTAAATAAAATATAAAATACGGCTGGGGATGTGGCTCAGTGGACAAGTACCCCTGAGTTCAATCCCCGGTACAAAAAAAAAAAAAACAAAACACTTTTAGGCCAAGGCACAGTGGCATGCCTAGCCTAATCATCCCAGCAGCTAGGGAGGCTGAAGCAGGAGGATTATGAGTTCAAAACCAGTAAGACCCTCTCTCTAAATAAACTGTAAAAAAAAAAAAAAGGCTGGGGATGTGATTCAGTGGTTAAGTATGCCTGAGTTTAATCCCAGGTATCAAACAAACAAACAAAAAATTACCTTTAGCCCAAGTTTCTGTGAATCAATGATAAATGAATAATGGGTAGTTTGAAGCTAATCAAGGATAAAAGGCTATTGGACACTTAACTGCCTAGTTGAAGTCTCTATCTATAGGATCTTTCCAGTATATCAAATTGATAGTGAAAGTTCATCAAATTTAGTAATAATTATAAATTATGGTAATAACCACCATTTATTAAGCACTTGTTATATGCCAGGCACTGGGCCAAACACATTTCAAGTCTTAATCTCATTCATAGATCATCATAGAGAAGGAGACCATAGATATCACATATTCTAAACTTATTTAATAGATAAATATACTAAGGTCAATAGAAAATCAATTTGGAGGACAGTAACTATCAGAAAATTTAGGTTAACAAAAGGAAGAATGATATAAATAATAATAAAAAAAAAACGAAAAGAAAAGCCACAGGGACAATAGTTTTTGCTGTGAGCCAAGGATTAACATTAGTCTAATTTGCATACCTGGGTTAATGGGAGAATGGAACCTTGACTAACCTTTCAGATATCTTAGGTATTGAGCCACCCCCACTTGAAAGTAAGATCCAGGACACATATGAACCAAAGAGGAAAATTAATTCAGGGCTTGCTATTACATTTGTTGCATAACAGTTATATACTGGGAGGCTAACAGGTGACTGACATCCTGCAGATTTTAAGAAGCTTTAGCTCCTTCTTTGACATGTTTGAAGTTGACTTACATTGGCATGGTTGATCCTCTTCTGTGGACATTTAAATCATACAGTGACACATTGATTCCCAGAAAGCCTTCCAGCTGAAACCAAAGTATGAAGTTTGTTGATTTCTTTCAGATGTGTAGGCAGTAAGACCAGCTATCACCTTCTAGCTTCTAACTCTGATACCAGAGCAGTGTCCCCTTCATAATGGATGTAATGGGTGACTGTGATATCTCCCCAACCTATCTCAGACTCTCATTCAGGGGGAAAATAGATAGGGAAAGAATGGGAGAAAATCAAAAGAAGCATATTTGGGTCTTAGAGCTTCATCC